TGTGTGTGTGTGTGTGTGTGTGTGTGTGTGTGTGTGTTTATGTTGGAAGTTTTGATAGTGCTGGGCATAATACCTTCCCTCTTGGCTATATTGTTCTGGGGGTGGATAGTGGCTTCCCAACCCTTCCATTCATCCATCTAACAAATATTTATTGAACACCTACTAACACTCAGAACTGGAGTTATTTCAGCTTCCTCTTTGTATTCTGGTGAAGGAAACAGATAGTGAGCAAGTAAGCAAATATATATGTATTACAAAGTCAAGTAATATCAAGTGATATGAAGAAAAAAAATGAAGTAGGGTACAGGGGCAGAGAACAACAGGAGAAAGGGGATTGGGTGGTCAGATACGATTTTTTAGAAGTGGTACCAGTTGAGCAGAGACTTGAATGAAATGCAAGAGGGAGCTGGGCCTTCTTTTTCTTTTTCTTTTCTTTCTGTTTTTTTTTTTTTTTTAGACTGTATTTATTTATTTGAGAGAGAGAGATCACAAGCAGGGAGGAGGGGCAGAGAGAGAAGCAGGCTCTCCACTGAGCAGAGATCCCGATGTGGCACTCCATCCCAGGACCCTGGAATCTTGAGCCGGAGGCAGATGCTCAACTGACTGAGCCACCCAGGCACCCAGGGCCTTGTTTTTCTACGTCACCGTGGTCTCCTCCTGTTCTGGTCCTTTTACTTCATACTTGCCCAGCTCCTGAAGGTATTGGAGTTTTTGACCCCTAAAAGTTTAAGTGAATGATACAACTCTGTGTAACCTGTTGTTTTGGGCTGAACATTTATCTTCATCTTAAACATTTCAAAAAAAAAAAGAGACATATATAGTAAAGTAATCTAAATGTTATTTAATCAAGCTGAAAATTGATATGCTTATTATTTGTCTAGATTATTTTTTTAAATCTGTCACTTACTAGCTAGAAGGTAGACAGTGGTATGTTGGTAAATGTTTGATTACCAGCTCTGGGGGGGGGGTGAAGTGGGGGGGAATGAGTTCTGATTTGTAGTATTTTCCCGTTTCCTTTGTGTAATACTTTCACCATGACTGATTTAAAGCTACAGTATCATTGGACACAGTTGGGAAGAGCTACAGCCAGTTCTTATTAGTCTGTACAAACTGGCTTCTTCACACTGCCAAAGGTAGTTTTATAATCTCCATTTACATTTGAACGTAAACATTCAGAATTGTTACAAGATAACTCAGTAAATTGTGGGCAAGTCTGCAAACATTTTGAAGCCTAGGGATTCTGATGCAATTGGCTTGGGTTGAAGAACTTGGCATCAATTTTTTTTTAAGGGATTCAATTGATTTTATTGTGAAGCCAGAGCTAAGAACCATTGATTTAGTGGATTAAGAATCTTGTATGATGGGGCACCTGGCTGGCTCAGTCGTTAGGCATCTGCCTTCAGCTCAGGTCATGATCCCAGGGTCCTGGGATCGAGCCCCGCATCGGGCTCCCTGCTCAGCAGGAAGCCTACTTCTCCCTCTCCCACTCCCCCTGCTTGTGTTCCCTCTCTCGCTGTGTCTCTCTCTGTCAAATAAATAAATAAAATCTTAAAAAAAAAAAAAAGAATCTTGTACGGTGCTTCCCAGTTGTCTTAGAAGCTCCTTCAAAATTACTTTTTCTTATAGATGTGGTAGACAAGGGACAAGATATTTGACTTCAGGGAAGGAATAGAATCCACGTGTCATATTTCAGGACACCACAAGGTCTTGATTTACCGTGGGACGTACCCAGGAGGGAAAAGACCAGGAACTAGAACTATACTCCCATTGGATTAATATAGAGGGACAAAGAGCTGGGGTCAGGGCTATGTGGGAATGAGGAGAGAGTTGAAAGAAGTCTAGTCTAACTGACAGAATGCATTAGCTAAAGCATGTGACAGTGGGCAGTTTGAATCTCCACTGCAGTAGTAGACTCTCATGCTGACACCCTGGACACTTGCTGTGATTGAAAGCTTGGGGTTTGGATTCAGGCTGCCTGGGATAGTTCTATTATTTATGATCTTTAAGAAATGAGCAAGTGGTTTAGCTTTTCTAAGTCTCATTTTCCTCATCTGTAAGATGGGGGTGATAATGTCTACTCCATCAGGTTGTTAATTTCATAAAAACCCCACTGTGCTCGGACATTTAGAGATCAAGTAGAAGAGGAAGAGCCAATAAAAGAGACTGGAAAGCAACAGGTAGTCTATCAGAAGCCTGAAGAAGAATGTTACAAGGAAAGTATGGCCCTCTGTCAAATCTGCCAAGAGTTTAATGCACACAAAGAGAAGTGATGACTGGGCTTTTTGGCAAGGTGGAGTGATCCTGATAAGCGCAGATTCAGTGAAGTGATGGGAATGAGGTCTGATTAGCACGGAGGTGAGATGAAACTGTGAGGTGAGGAAGGATAGACATCAATTATAGAACACTTATAAGAGTTTTGGGGGAAACGGTAGGTTGAGAAATGGAGTGGCATTTGGAAAGGATGTGAAGTTAAGAGAGTTTTTTTCCGCTGGAGTATTATAGTGTCTCTGTATATGTTGAAGGGAATGGTCCCCTGGAGAGAGATTAAATGATGCAGAGGAAAATGTGACAATTTCCAGGAGATTGATACATGAAATAATTGAAAAGATGAGAAGGGTGGGATCCAGTGCTCAAATGGAGGAGTTGGCCTTGGCTAGGTGTGGGGATGCTTCATTGACTATAATAATAGTAAAAGCAGAGAGTGTGTATAAAAGTAGGTAGGTAGGTTGGTGGACTTAGTGGCTGGAAAATAAGGGAGTTACTATCTGATTGCTTATGTTTTCTGTAGGCAATATTATCAATTGAGAATTGGATGTTGGTGATCATGGAAACTAAATTAGGTACATTAGTAGATTGTGATATTTGAAAAGAAAGGAAAAGTCATGGAATTGAAGAATGGAAGGCTAGGGAAATGAAGTAGGATTCCTGTGACGAGATTGTACTTGAGATTAGTGGGTAAGAATTTAGGAGTATGGAGGTGACTGGGTGGCTCAGTTGGTTAAGTGTCCGACTCTTGATTCTGGCCCAGGTCATGATCTCAAGGTCATGGAATTGAGCCCTGCATCAGGCTCTGCACTCGGTGTGGAGTCTGCTTGAGATTCTCTCTCTCCCTCCCCCCCACACTCCCTCTGCTTGTGCACGCATGTGTGGGCTCTCTTTCTCTCTAAAATAAATAAATAGATCATTATGTAAAAGAATTTAAGAGTATGTTAGTTATATGCAGTATGTTAGTCTCTGTAGTCAGGGTAGACTAGCTTTTCCTGCAGCAGCAAATAACGCCTAAATCTGAGTGACTGAATATAATCAAGATCTCCTTCTTGCTCAGACAACATGTCTAACAGGAGGGTCCCTGCTCTGCCTAGCTTCTCAGGAAACTGTGTGTCAAGAAGTGTAAAGAGGCCAGAGCACTTGGGTGGCTCAGTCAGTTAGGTGTTTACCTTTGGCTCAGGTCATGATCCTGGGGTCCTGAGATCGAGCCCCGTGTCGGGCTCCCTGCTCTGGGGGGAGCCGCTTCTCCCTTTCCCTCTGCCCCTCCCCCCAGGCTTGTTCTCTCTCTCAAAAAAATAAAGTAAAAAAAAAAGTAAGAAGAGGCCATTTACTCTACTTGCAAGCTAACAAGTTAGCCAACCATGGTATCATGGACATCATGGACACTAGCAGAAGACACTTCTGGATCAGACACAGGGGACTTTAGTACTCACAGGAGGAGCGGTAGCCAGAGTGTCCACATTTGTGTAGATTCCCCAAGTCCCCGTTCCACAGGGAGATGCTAAGCGCACCAAGTGACACCTGCATAAGCTGTGAGTTGTGTTATGGACGAATCCTGCACTTAGGGAACCCAAACCTTTTCTCTTGGGCCAGAAGCATGCCTTACTCTCTCTATGTTTTAAAGCAAGCCATAAGCAAACTAGCCCCTTGCTCCAAAGGAGGATATTAGCTCTCTTTTTTGACACAGTTGACTGTGCCAACATCCTGGAAAAGATGGTCTAGAACAAAAGCAGTCAGTGCTTCTGCTTATAAGTTGTACAGAAATGGGGGTGCCTGGGTGGCTCAGTCAGTTAAGCATCTGCCTTTGGCTCAGGTCATGATCCTGGGGTCCTGGGCCCCTTGTATTAGTTTGCTAGGGATGCTGTAATAAAGTAAGCTGGTTGGCTTAAACAAAAAAATTTGTCTCAGTTTTTGAGTCTAGAAACCCTAGATCAAGGGGTCGGCGGAGTTAGTTTCCCCTGAGGCCTTGTTCCTTGGTTTTTAGATGGCCATCTCCTCCCAGTGTCTCCACGTGGTCTTTCCTGTATCATATCTGTATCCAAATTTCCTCTAAGGACACCAGTCATATTGGATTAGAGCCCATCCTAATGACCTCATTTTAATTACCTCTTGAACGATCCTATCACCAAATATAGTCACATTTTAAGGTACTATGGGTTAGAGCTTCAACATGTAAATTTTAAAGGATTACAATCCAGCTACAACACTGCAACATTTCAACACATGGCTTCCAGGGTTGATAAAATGGGAAGAGAGCACCTGGAAGGTGACACGGGAGCTTTTCACCAACTCTGGCCCAAGGAACATACCATCACTTCTGCTTTCAGTACAGGGGACGGACCTCATCTAAACTGCAGCCAGACTGGGATGTGTTTGTATCCATGCACTCAGATAGGAGGGGAAAACCAGATGTCGATGAGCACTAGCCATGTCTCCCACAGCATAGTTGTGTGTTTCTCTCCAGTACTCTTCAGCTGTTCAGGTGCAGAAATGGAACAGATAGCAGGTGGGTTTAGTCTCAGAATTAGGATTCTGCCAGCTAGTCTGATGAGGAAAGAGAGTGGCAAGGGAGGTAAAGGTGTTTGTGTAGAAGGGATTTCAGAGGTGGACTATAGGATCTAAACTGGGTAAGGAGTGGAGTAAGGGAATAAGGGATGTTTATATGAAAAGCTGGTAAGAACAGTAGATTGGAGGACTCGATGAGGTTGTAGAATTTCAGGACTGGGAGAATTAGAGCAGGTGAGTTGGATGGATGAGGTGGTGGTCAGATGATGGGATTTTGGGGGGGGCATTTCCTTTTTTATTTAAATTCAATTAATTAACATATAGTGTATTATTAGTTTCAGAGGTAGAGTTCAGTGATTCATCAGTTGCATAGAACACCCAGTGCTCATTCCATCATGTGCCCTCCTTCATGCCCATCACCCAGTTACCCCATCCCCCCCACCTCCCCTACAGCAACCCTCAGTGTCTTTCCTATGCTTAAGTGTCTCTTATGGTTTGTCTCCTCTCTGATTTTGTCTTGTTTTATTCTTCCCAGGTTTTCTTTTTTTTTTTTTTTTTTTTTTTTTTACTAACCAGAATCATGCTCTATGTATTGTTCTTTGATGTGATTGTTGGAGATGTTCTCAGCCTAGCACACTCCTTTTATCCATTCTGTATTCCACAGAAATAGTGTCACTGTTTGGGTTGCTTCATTCTGCTGTTATAATTATACCTACTTTTGTGCACAAACTAGAGCACCGGGGCTGGAATTTGAGGGGAAGAGTGCCAGTTTGAGCCCTTGGCAATCTGAAGTGAAGGCGTGTTGACTTGGCATTGAGCAGGTGGCAGGCCGTGCATGCTGACTTGGGCAGGAGGGCGGCTGGACTGTGAATTTTGGACCCAAAGGCCAATGGCATCATGTGTGACAGGGACGTGGCTGGTTTTGCTTTTAACTTTTGTTTTTCTGGGAAACTCTCTCTCTCCTTCTATTCTAAATGAAAGCCTTGCTGGATAGAGTATTCTTGACTGTAGATTTTTTCCTTTTAGCACTTGGAATTTATCATGCTGCTCCCTTCAGGCCTGCATAGTTTCTGCTGAAAAACCCACTGATAGCCTTATGGGGTGTCCCTTGTATGTCATTGCTTTCCTTTCTCTTGCTGCTTTTAAAATTCTCTCTTTATCACTACTTTTGGCCATCTTATTTACTTTGTGTCCTGGTGCAGACCTCTTTGGGTTGGTTTTGTTTGGGGGTCTCTGTGCTTCCTGGATTTGGATTTTTCTTTCCTTCCCCAGATTCAGGAAGTTTTTAGCTATTATTTCTTCAGACAAATCTTCTGCCCCCTTTTCTCGCTCTTCTCCTTCTGGGATCCCTATCATACGACTATTACGCTTGACAGTGTCGCTGAGTTCCCTGGGTCTATTCTCATTTTGTGTATTTTTTTCCCCTCTCATCTGCTCAGCTTGATTACTTTCCATTACTCTGTCCTCCAGGTGGCTGATCCGTTCTTCTACTTCCTCTTGTTTGCTATTTATTTGAGGTGGTCTATTTTTATTTCCATTTAGTGAGTCTAATAGCTCTAATTGGTTCTTTTTTACATCTCCTATCTCTTGATGGAGAGTCTCATGGAAGTTTTGCACTCTTTTCTCAAGTCCGGTGAGGATCTTTATGAGCATTACTTTAAATTCTCTATCAGACAGATTAGTTATCTCTGTTTCCCTTAGGTCTCCTGCTCTGATTTTGTTCCACTCTTTCATTTGGGACATATTCCTCTGTCTCCTCATTCTGTCTATTGCTGTGTCTGTTTCTATGTGCTAGGGAAGTCAGCTACATCTCCTGCACTTGAAAGTAGTGGCTTTATGAAGAAGAGGTCCTGCAGCGTAACGTCTCTTTTTCACTAGAAAATGTGCTTCAGGAGGTGTCTCCTATGTGTGTTGCTACAGGGGTGTCCTACCATTGTGGCTGGGATGTGTTTGCCTTCAGTCCAGCCTGTGATGGCGCTCTGCCTGTTGTGGGCAGAGTCTGGTGCCTGTGGTGTTAGTGGGCTGGTCCTGGGCTGCCTTGGGCTTGAGTTGAGTCAAACCAGGTGTTCGCCAGAGATGAAGTAGCACCAAACTGCAGGCACTTTCCCTGTATTGTCCCCTGAGAAGCTTTTGTTGATGGGTGGGGCCTGTAGTCAGACCAGCTGCCTGCCGCCAGCCCACTGCTGGGGTCACAGTCAGACTGATGTGTGGTTATCTTCCCCTCTCCCTGGAGCAGGACTCACTTTGGAGTAGTGCTGACCCTTGTCTGGGCTGCGTGCACACTACTGGGCTTGTGGCACTGCTTTGATGGGATCTTGTGAAGAATGATCGGAGTGGGTGGATCTGCTTCTCTGTGGCCTCTTGTCTATGCCAGGCTGCGGAGAGTCTGTTCTGCCAGTTTTCGGGCTGCTTTCTGGGTTATTTATGACGATGTGGGTGGTCTGTAGGCAGCCACATGGCAAGGCATGAGCCCAAGGCCCTCCTACTCCACCATCTTCCCAGCAGCCTCAGACAATGGGATTCTTGAAGATGTCAGAGGTAATGTAGTTTTTGATGATGATGTCAAAAGAATGACCCTGGGGTGCCTGGGTGGCTCAGTCATTAAGCGTCTGCCTTCTTCTAAGGTCATGAGTCCAGGGTCCTGGGATCAAGCCCTGCATCGGGCTCCCTGCTCGGCGGGAAGCCTGCTTCTCCCCCTCCCACTCCCCCTGCTTGTGTTCCCTCTCTGCTGTGTCTCTCTCTGTCAAATAAACAAATAAAATCTTAAAAAAAAAAATAAAAGTATGACCCTGAAATTGGGTGGCTGAGATCAGGTGGAACGAAAGATTATTCTACATGAGGGAGTCAGAGAACTGGGAGACCAGAGTATGGGATTTGTCATCTGTGTGGATGTTGAAGTCACTTAGAGTGGGGCCCACAAGAGGGTTAGAAGGCAAGAGGGGGATCCAGGTGAGAGAATGAATGTGTATTTCCCCCATGAAGATACTCTTGGTCTTTGATTAGACTTGGTAGTATTCTAGAGTCTTTGGCAGATTATATTTTCATTATTATTATTGGGAAACTACTTGGCAACTCATCCACAAAACCTCTTAGGGGGCTTTCTTTTTAGAGATGGCCTGTTGCTGATTTCAGATCATTCCAATTCTGACTTTATCCTCCTAAGAGACCCTACATATTAAAAATACTCAATAATACTTTCAGATCATTCCAATTCTGACTTTATGTCCCCTGAGAGATCCCGAGTTCTCCTGCATATTAAAAATACTCAATAAATCCTAAAATCTTCTCTAGGCTAGTTAATAAAACCTGCCACCTGAATGTGTATATGTGTTTAATATGTAATGTTTATAGTAGGTATGAATCTACTTTTATCTCTTTTTATATAAATGAAAATAAAACATGTTTATCCCTTTAGCCTTTGTATATGTTTATATGATGTGCTACATTTTAATGATTTGTTTCTGCTGGCCGGGCATCTGCAGTGGGTTCTGCAGACAACAATTTTATCTCTGTAAACTTGTATGGAGCATTTGGGCTCCTGCCTGTCTAATCTTATACAGACATCATTAAAAAAAACCGCAAGTCCATGGCCACCCTCCGACCTCCTAGAGGCAGATACTACGTTGCTGACTTCAGGGTGGTCCTTGGAAATGATGTTTTGTTTTGGACCAGGAATATTTTTAAGGGTGTGAAAACATTTGCATTGTGAGCCTCAAGTGAAATCTTGATAATACAGCTCTGTAAAATATTGATGCAAATTTCCTATGTTCAGATTGGCAGAATGTGAAAGGCTCAAGGCTGTTGTGTCGTTTTTAAAGTCACCAGGTTTGCCACGTGAGGTTTGCCTTTTTTTCCTTCACCCCCCCCCCAAATTCCTTCAGTCATGCTTGCTTGTTTTCTTTCAGTACTGCCAAATCAGAGAAGCTTTCACAATGCTGCAAAAAGCAATAATTTGGATCTTATGGAGAAGCTGTTTGAAAAGAAGGTTAACATTAATGCTGTGAACCATGTGAGTAGAAGTCACAGATGTGACAAGTGAGTACTCTAAGGGTGGTTTGGATTTACACAGTCTGACTGAAATAATAATAAAAATAAAAATGATTGTGCTGGATGAGGTAAGGGAGAGCTCTGTTGTTGGTTAATTCCAGAATGTGTAAGCTAAAGGTGGAATCAAGCAGAGGAATATAAAATCTTATCAGAGGGGAAATATATAGTCACTATGTGCATCTGTGCAAAGTCTGTGGGTAGGCAGTAAAGCCAGTTGTCAAGGTTATGGGCCTGGACTTGATCCTGGATTGCAGCCTTTGGATCACTGGCCTCACACATTCTGGAAAGGCAGAACATCTTTTGCTTCACAGTTTCGTCACTGCTTTCTCTCCAGGGATGTCCTTTGTTGTTTGGCCTTCCAAATTTAAAATCCAAAGGAGCACGGGTTTGTATTTTATCGCTTTTGAAATATAGTGCCTTTGCATGTCGGACACTGGGGCCTTTTCTAAAGCTTGGCTCTTACTTTATTGTTCTTCAAGTGCCTGGGTTTAGGAGAGAAGTCTACTGCTAGAAATACGAATTTCCTACTGCTTGGTTTTGTAGAGATTTCCTGACAGCTTTTCGGGGCAAGGTTTATCAAAGTAGACAGGTTTAGGGCTGTGTTAATTGCCTAGGACAATCTGTGCAGTGGATCAAAGAGGAGATAACAGAGGTGGATTTAATGCTAAATGAAGCAGAAGTTTTAGTGTCCTTACTGGTACAGACCCCTTCCAAGGCATGGGGGAGGGCTCTAGCAATGTATTCTCATGCTTATATGGTTTTGTAAAATCTAAAAAAGTAAGAAACTTTAATTGCCATCAGTTCAGCTTTTTGACTCTGGCTTTAAAGAGGGCTCTCTAGAGAGTGTAGACTACGTTTCACAACACGTAGATCTGTCCCAGACAGTGACGTCATATGAATTGAAGTCATGCATCATATGCAGTGGAAAGATATTTACTGGTTGTGCATATGTATATGGAAATTTATGTGTCTGTGTGTATATTGTATGCATGTGTATCTCTGATATGGTTATATATAATATTCATTGTCCGTAGGTATCCTAGAAAGAGTAGAAAAATAAAGTTTTGCAGGATAACAATTTTAGGAACCAAACAAAAACAAAAACAAAAAAAAAAGGAAATGAATCAGAAAGGAAAGAATTAAAAAGAAAGAAGCGAGCAGGGGCCTTTGCAAGTAATATCTAGATAAATTGTTGAGTAAGTAAAGCAATAATCATTTTTCCAAGTAGCAGGAAATAGATTCTCTAATGTACTTTTATAATAATTTAAAATTTTTTCACATAAGACTTTCTGATATTTTTAAAAATATTTTATTTATTTGAGAGAGAAAGAGAGCACAGAGGGAGAGGGAGAGGGAGAAGCAGACCCCCCCCCTCCACTGAGCAGGGAGCCCAATGTGGGGCTCCATCCCAGGACCCTGAGATCATGACCTGAGCCGAAGGCAGACATTTAACCAACTGAGCCACCCAGGTGCTCCAAGAAATTCTGATAATTTTAAACCATATTCTTATGTTAAAGTAGTTAAAAAGATTTAATGCTAAATGAAGCATGATTTAGGAGACAATCAGGGCATTTTAACTTATGGTCACTGTGGCAAGTTACCAACTCTCAATGAACTGTATTATACTTTCTAATGACATCTCTTTTAGTCCCATTTACAGCAATTTGTTTACATGGTTACTTGTAGAGTTCCTTAAAATCTGTGATGATAGAGATGAAAAAATATTTATAAGTGGTTTTATTGAATTATCTTGGATGCTGTTTTGGCTTGACATACCAGAACACAACTCTAAATTGCAGACAATGTCAGGATAACTCATGCTTTGTCAAACTCCAGTTTATCATCAATTTAGCTACCAAGGATATCAGATATTTAATTTTTGCAATACTTTATTCGAAACAAAGGAGGAAATCCATGTGCAGGCACCTTCTTTGGAAGCAAAAACAGTGTCTAGAATATGGGAAATATGACATGTGTTTTACTTACAAGCAAAACATCTCTTCTCTGAAACAATGAACTGTCTCTGGACATCCCAGGAGTACCTTGTTGGCTTTCCTTTGAAGCAACAGATAGTCATAGCTTTCTTTTTCTGTGTCTGCATCGTTCTTTTCTTTTCTTTTCTTTTGTCTTCTCTTTCTTTCTTTCATTCTGAAGCAGTATGTTTCAGTAAAATAAACTACAAAAAATTATAGAAGGAAGACCATATACGGGGTTGAATATCTAGGAAAATTTTTGTTTTGCATTATCAATATATTCTAAGCAGAAAAAAATTGCTGTTATTAATAATTGCATATGGGAGAAAATACAACTTTTGCTTTTTATTTTTATTTATTTATTTTTAAAGATTTCATTTATTTGAGTGAGAGAGAGAGAAAACACATGTGGGAAAGGGGCAGAGGGAGAGGGAGAGGGACAAGCAGACACCCTGCTGAGCACAGAGCCTGATGCAGGGCTCGGTCCCAGGACCCTGAGATCATGACCCAAGCTGAAGTCAGACGTTTAACGGACTGAGTCATCCAGGCACCCCTACAACTTTTACTTTTTTTAATTGAAATCCATTATACTGTTACAATCAATCATGGGTTATGCCATGCACATATAAACATATGATAGAAAATTATGGCCGTTTAAGACACAGGAAACATAAAGAGGCTAAATAGCAATTAGATGACTGAAAACACAAATTATGTTTCTTCAGATGAACCGCAAAGCCTTGCATTTTGCAGTGGGGGCAAATGATTTATCTGCGGTGGATTTCTTGCTTAATCATAAGGCAAGAGTGGATATTGCTGATAAGGTAAGCTCACCTTCATTTGGTAGAATGGATTGGAGCATAACCAGTGTATGGGGAAAATCTGGTCACTTCAGTTATCTTTTTTTCACATACACACAGAATATTTCCAAATTCAGTTTTCACTTTGGAAAGATCTCTTTAGGGTGTATTTGGTAACTAAATTGTTTACCTATTACTTGTAGGACTTAGGCTTTTGCTAATTTTCTCATATTGACCTTATGGCCAGTAATATGCATTTGTAAGAATAAGGTGGTTGCCCATAGTATAATTTGGGACATGGGGGACAGAAGCTAACTGGCCTCATGGACATTAAATCTTGACTTTGCTGTGTGAACTCTAATAAAGCTTATTAAGTACATACTATGTACTGGGCACCAGTCTTAGGACTTTGATATTGAGTGCCCAACCTTGTCTCCCAACCTTGTGAGAAAAGTGTTACTAAAAATATACAGTTTTCATAGGAAGAGCCTAAGACAGAGAAGTTGAATATCTTGCCCAATAATTACATCTAAGAAGGGGTGAAGGCAGGATTTGAACCAAGTTTACCTGGTTCCAAAGACCATGCTGTTAGCCCTAAAGCAGCTTAACTATTTGTCTGCCTTGATATCAAAACCCACCCTAAGGATTTTCTCCCTACTTTTCCCAACTTCACTTACTACTTTATCATGGCGCAAGAAAACCACTTGGGCTGGATATACCCAATATCACATTCATCATCTCCAGTTGCAATGAAAGATGATGGTCTTGATTTTTAGAATCCTATGGACTGTGGCTCCTGGTTCTTAGTTAACCAAATGGGCCATTGTTCCTAAAGTGTTCCGAAGGTTTTCACAGAGCTATTCTATTTTGTCTGGATTGACTCATTGGAAGATAAAACTCAGCCCTGCTTTACTTTCATTCTTCCAGGTCCTGGGTTTAGTATGTGCTTAGTAAATCTTTGGAAGATGAGTAAATGAAGTCAGATCAAACCAGCTGGTCATATTGTTGGTTTTGTTGGTGTAGACATGGCCTAGACATGATAATGATGAAATTTTTTTTTGTTTTACGAGGGGAGCACATCCTTCTCTGTTTTATTCCTCTGAGATTGGTAGGCAAGTCAATTGATATGTAATAGAATCAGAATGAAGAAGTACCCCTTACTAAAAATTGGCACTGAAAGCACTCCAATTTTGTGAGGGTAATAAGTTGTATTATGGTTATTGTACTTAACATGTTGTTTGGGTCTGGAAATTCTTATTTGATTATTTTGCAATGTTAGCCTGCAAAAGATGACTTGGTAATAGACCTGATTGCCAAGAGTCTATTCTTAATTTTGACGTTGAAACCCTGATACAGTAACTTTTTATTTTAATTTTTAAATTGACCGTACAATTTTCTTTCTTTTTGGTGTACAGTTATATGAATTTTAATGTATGTGTAGATTCATGTAATCACCAGCATAATCAACATACAGAACAATTGCATCACCCAGAAAATATCCTCATGCTGCATCTTTGTAGTCAAACCTTTACCCACCCTGGAAACCACTGATCTCTGCTCCATCTCCATAATTTTGCCTTTTTAAGAATGCCATATAAATGATGTCATATAGCATATAACATTTTGACACTGGCTTCTTTCACTCAGCAAAATCTCTCTGAGATTCATTCACATTATATGTATCAATAATTCCTCCCTTTTTGTTGCTGAATAGTATTTTAGTATATAGATGTGCCACAAGTTTATTTATGCACTCACCTGTTGAAGGATGTTAGAGTTGTTTCAGTTTTTGACTATTACAATTAAGCTGCTATCCCTTTCACGAAGATGGCGCCAAAGGCTAAGAAGGAAGCCCCTGCACCTCCCAAAGGTGAATCCAAAGCAAAGAATTTGAAGGCCAAGAAAGCAGTGCTGAAAGGCGTCCACAGTCACACAAAAAAAGATGATCTGCACATCAACTACCTTCTGACGGCCCACGACACTGCATTTCCGAAGGAAGCCCAAATATCCTCGAAAGAGTGCCCCCAGGAGAAACAGGCTTGACTGCTATGTCATCATCAGGTTCCCCCTAACTACTGAGTCAGCCATGAAGAAAACAGAAGAGAACAACACACTTGGGTTCATTGTGGTTGTTAAGGCCAACAAGCACCAGATCAAACAGGCTGTGAAGAAGCTCTATGACATGGATGTGGCCAAGGTCAACACCTTGATCAGGCCTGATGGAGAGAAGAAGGCATATGTTCAACTGGCTCCTGACTATGATGCTTTGGATGTTGCCAATAAAATTGGGATCATCTGGGCACCTGAGTGGCTCAGTTGGTTAAGCGACTGCCTTCGGCTCAGGGCATGATCCTGGAGTCCCGGGATCGAGTCCTGCATCGGACTCACTGCTCAGCAGGGAGTCTGCTTCTCCCTTGGACCCTCCCACCCTCATGCTCTCTCTCTATCTCATTCTCTCTCTCAAATAAATAAATAAAATCTTAAAAAAAAATTGGGATCATCTAAACTGAGTCCAGCTGGCTAAATCTAAATGTAAATTTTTATACAAACAACAACAAAATGAATAAAGTTGCTATCAACATTTGTGTACCAGTTTTATGTAGGCGTAAGTTTTCATTTCTCTAGTATAAAGCCCTAGGAGTGAGATTACTGGGTCATGTAGTAAGCTGTATACAAGAAGCTGCCAGACTATTTTCTGTAGTGGCTGTGCCTTGCATTCCCAGCAGCAGTGTTACAGAACTCCTTTGTTCTACATCCTCATCAGCTCTTGTAGCTTTCATTTTTTTCTCCTCAATGTTTGCCTTTCTAATGGGTGTGTATTGGCATTTCCTTGTGATTTTAATTTGCATTTCTTTAATGGCTAATGATATTGAGCATCTTTCTTGTGCTATTTACCATTTGTATATTTTCTTTGGTGATGTGTCTATTCAAATCTTTTGAGTACTTTTTTTAATAGAGTTGTTTGTTTTCTTACTGTTTGGTTTTGAGAGCTCTTTATATATTCCAGATACAAGTCCTTTGTTAGACCTGTGATTTGCAAGTATTTTCTCACACTCTGTAGCTTATCTTTTTCACAGAGCAAAAGTTTTAAATTTTGATGAATTCCAACTTATCTGTATTTTAAATCTTTTTTAAAAAGGATTTTATTTATTTGACATAGAGAGAGAGAGTACAAGCAGAGGGAGAGGGAGAAGCAGGCTCCCCACTGAGCAGGGAGCCCAATGTGGGGCTCGATCCCAGGACCATGAGATCATGACCTGAGCTGAAGGCAGCCACTGAACAGACTGAGCTACCCAGGCACCCCCCAACTTACCTGTATTTTAAAAATGAATCTAGGTGTTGTGTTATATCTAAGAAAGACTTGCCTAATGTGTCATGAAGATTTTCTCATATTTTTCTTGTAAAATGTTTAGAGTTGTGTGTTTTACATTTAGATCTATTGTCCATTTTGAGTTATTTTAAGTATAAAGTATGAGGAATAGGTCAAGGTTCTTTTTTTTCTTGCAGAGGGATGACCAGTTTCTTCATCATTTGACACCAGTGTCACTTCAGGTTTCAGCACTTTTGCAGTGCTCTTTGGACCTGCCCCACGGGTCCAGTCTGAGACCTGGGCAGTGGTCTGCCCCATAGTTCAGCATTCCAGGGCTTTGTCATGTTGTGTAGGGTCTGGTCCATGTACGGATCGGAGTGAGGCCTCACACACAACTTTATGGGCTTACTTTCTCAAGCTTCCACCTCTCCAGCCTCATCACCCCCACATTCCCCGGCTCCAGGGCCCCTCCTCCCCTTTTCCTGGTGTTCTGACTAGAAAGTCAAGGGGGTGGTCTCTGAGCTCGGCTATGTACTTCCCATGATTAGGTCTGCCTCTGGGACTGAGGGAGAAAAATAAGGAACATGGGTCCCACCCCACCCACTCTTATGACCACAGTTCCTTTGGTCCGAGAGGATTTCTCTGTCAGTTTTAGGTGCTTGCCCACTTAGTGCTGTTGCTGTCCCTTCTACCACAGGGTTCCAGCTTTGGGAGTGAGGCTTGCCTGGAACAGGACCAGAAGAGAATAGAGAAACAGTATTTCCCCTACTTTCTCTGTCTTGCTCCTTAGCCCAGAAAGAGAGGGCTTCTCTTGGAGTTCTTTCTGTCTGTGCCCAGAGCACACTTCTGTGACTTATACTGCCTTGAGTTCAAGCTGGAAGATGTGGAAGGAAAAAAACAAAAACCAAATCAGGAAACCCTCTTTGTTTATATTTTTGAGTTTTGGTTTACTTCCCAATCTACCTGCTACCATTTACTTCTCAGAGTCCTCAAATAGCTACTCCATGCATTTTGTCTGGAGATTTCAGTCACATCTGGTGAGAGAGACAGTGTATTTACTCCATCGTACCCAAGACCATAATCCCAAATCTTTAACATACTAAAAAGTGGAAGGAATTGTACAATGAACACTTACACATCCATTGCCCAGGTTGATAGCATCTTTTCTTTTACACAGCATGTCTGAGGATCACCATGTTTCTAATATATTAAATACACTACTGGTTTCTGTCAGAGTGTAAGTCAGTTATTCCTGAAATGATGAAGAGATGTTCTACCAACTTATTCTTTTTGAGGCTTTTCCAAACATACATTTGGAAGCTAGCATCAGCTTTTTTGTAATTTGGTCTTGTGAGATTGAAATGCTGTCAGATGGGAAATATGGTATTAGTACATATATATTCCAGATGTATCTCTGTACTCCACCTTGAAAGTTTCACTAAGTTTAATATTTCTATAACTTAATTATTCACAGTGGTATTAGAACATAACTAATAAATTGCTTTTTATAATTCAAGCAATGCTGTGTTTGGTCAAACTTTCTTTATCTGGGTCATGAGCCTTGAGTTTGTCTTGGCAGATCTGTCTTCTAACACCTATTTGTAAAGAGCCAAAAATTGAACCCCTTCACCATCAGTATTTATTCATTGCCTGCTCTGGGTAAGTCTCAATGCCAACTACTGGGGATTTAACAGCATTTAAGTTCTTGTTACTCAAAGTGTCGTCCTGAGACCAGAAACACTGGCATTTCTTTGGAGCTTGACATGCAGAATCCCAGAGCCTACCCCAGACCTCCTGAATCAGAATCTGTGACTTAACAAGATCCCCAGGTGATTGTGTCAGGAAGCACTGGCAGGAGATACAGTCCCTGCTCAGAGGGGTGTACAGTCTATTAAGGGAGCAAGGACCAAGACCATTGACATGATGTATCTTTCAAGGCACTGCAAGCTAAGGATCAAATGCATGGCCCAGGTGCTGAGAGCTTCAGGTTCAAAGTTGGTGGCATCCCTGAATCTTGGAAACAGGCACACTAGATAAATGGAGGCTCTTACTCCAGATGTGAATCAAGGATCCCAGATGGAGAGCAGGTGGCGTTTAGAGGATAATGACAGGCATCAGCTCTCAGAGCTTCTTATCTCTGGGAAGGTATTCCGTGCATGTGCTCCTCAGGGGAAGTTAATGACCTTCTCACTTGTGATCACACTGGTGATAGGGACAGAGTGTCACCGACGGTGGACCTTTTACACTTTACAGAGCATTCTGTACACTCTGAGTGTAATCCATGACACATGCTCACAAACTGTCCTAGGCATGTCAGTTTATTGTCACAAGACATAATTTTATGAATATTTTTGTAAGGGAACTAACATTTGTGAGCAGTGATTCTTTTCCTCTGAGGAATGATGGTTCCACTTGGAATATATGGCTTCAAACGTTCCTGTTGTTGGCAGTTTGAATTCCTGGCTCTTGGATTTTATGATTAGTGTTTGAAATCTTTCAGTGTTGCCTGCTTTGAAATTAGGAATGACCTATTAGGAAAAAATAGAGCTCCTATCAAAGTGTGAATTATCTTCTTTCAAAAATATTTCTGGGGGTGCCTGGGTGGCTCAGTCGTTAAGCGTCTGCCTTCGGCTCAGGTCATGATCCCAGGGTCCTGGGATCGAGCCCCACGTTGGGCTCCCTGCTCCGCAGGAAGCCTGCTTCTCTCTCTCCCACTCCCCCTGCTTGTGTTCCCTCTCTTGCTGTCTCTCTCTCTCTCTCTCTGTCAAATAAATAAATAAAATCTTTAAAAAATATATTTCTGACTTATTTTTTGACATATGTGAAACTGGATTTAGTATTCCTGAATAGAGACCATTAGTTTGTAGAGAAGAGCAATTAAGGAGTAGAATTGTATTTAGGGCACATTTCTTGAAAAACCTCAACTAGTTATTGTACATCATTAGTCCTTGGGAAAAAGTGCAGAAATTGGTGAGCACTTTCTGCATATTGGAATTGTAAATATATAAATAGGCTTGAATAGACTAACTCACTGGGTAGTGTGGCAGCCGAAATGTAAATTTTATAGAGTATGACATTTAAAGCAGGGTTTATCAACAGTGGCCCTATGACATTTTGGTCAGATGATTTTTTGTTGTTGTTGTGGGAGGCTGTTTGGGATTATAAAATGTTTTGCGGTATCTCTGGCTTCTCCCCACTAAATGCCAATATCTCCACTCAGCCCCAGCAATCAAAAGTATCTTCTGACATCTCCAAATGTCCCCTGGAGGCAAAATTGCCCCTCTCCCCCACTGAGAACAACTGAGTTAGAGTTACACCTCAATAATCTGGGATTTCCTTTTCACTTCTCTGTATCTGTACTTCCCTGAGAAGCAGAGAATACGTTAATGCAGTTTCTGTGGTAGCCAAAGTAAATGCCAAAAGGCAAATGAAAGTGCCCCCCACAGACCCTCCTTCCTTGTTGATTTAGTCATATTGTATACATCTAGCAAACTGGTTTCATGGCTTACAAAGTCAATTAAGATGCAAATAAGATGTGCTGAGAAGGCTTACTTTTTGGAAGGATGGCATTCAGAAGGCATTTAGAAGGACTTTAACAGAGCACTGGATGATTTTTTAACAGAGATGAAAGGAAACAGAGAAGCAGACACAGGAACTTACAGGTAAGGAACCTGAGGCTGAGTGTTAACTAGAACATAGTATTTGAAGTAGGAGAGCCAAATTGAAGGTCAGTTTCTTTTGACTCTACAGATCACACTCATAAAGTGTGCTCTATATTACTTCTCTAACTTGGGGCCTAGGATGCAAGTCCCAGCTTTCCTAGTTTAGTACCCTCCAATTCCACCTTCCTGAGATAGCCAATGTTAACTGCTGGCTCTTTCCTTTCACACTTTTCTCCTGCTCATTCAGTCTACAAGTCTAACTGCCCACAGCGTCCCGAAGGGTCAGTAGGTCCTTACTGAGTCTCTGTCAGTCTATTCCATGCATGTGTGCATGCACATGCACACCTATATAATTTTTAGAGAGAGTATTTCAAATGATTTATATAGAAATAGGGTTCTTTTTATAACCTCAGTCTTCTCTGTTTTTTCTTTTTTGTGCACCTGCTCCTTCTCCAGTAACTACCTTTAACAACGCGGAGAATGTGTGTTTATTTCTGTACTTTTGCTCATGCTCAGTAATCATATCTATATTGGCAGCGCACATCTATCTATCTACGTGCCCACCTTAGACAGATATAGATACATATGTGTACACATGTGAGTTTTTGTCGTTGCTTGTTTTATAAAAAATGGGATTATATTTTTTTGTGCATCTTATTTTTCACATTTAACAGCTACCTCGGAAATCTCTCCAAGTCAGTTTTTATCGCTCTAACTCATTATTTGTAATGGCTGCTTGATGTGATATGACTGTGCCCTAATTTGCTCAGCGTTCTTATATTGATGGACATTTACCTTGCTCTCCTTTTTAAGGGTTACAATTAATATCCTTGTTTACATAACATTAGGTTCTAAAACTCTTTTTCAGGGGATAGATTCCTAGTAGTGGGATTGCTGGTTGAATTGAAAATTTCAATAGCTATTGCCAGATTGCTGAAACCATAATTGTTCATTTCCACTAATACCTTAAGAGAGCACCTTTTTTCGGTCCACTTTTTCAATTGGTTTAATTGCCTTCTTTTTGTTGATTTGTAAGAGGTTTCATGTATTAGAAAAAGTAACCATTTATCTTTATTAAAATACATTTTTAAAAATCTATCATTTGTTTCTTGACTTTATCATCTTTCCTTTTATAACTTGTGGATCAAGACACTGTACCTTACAGTCTAGATTTTCTTCTAATATTTTTGTGTGCTTTTGTGTGTGTGTGTATAATATGATATAGGATTTAATTTTATTTTCTTCCCTGTAGAGAATGACTTGTGCCTGTACCACTTATTAAATGTCTTCCTTTCCCCCATAGAATTGAAGTATCACATTTGCTGTATATTAAATTTTTTCCCTATTTGTTAATTTTCAACACTTGAGTATTATCTTGGCCTTTGTTAACTGAGGTAGTGTGTTGTAGCTCATTCCAGTGATAGACGCTTTTCTTTTTTCTTCTTGGGGAAGCACGGCTTGACAGTAGTTCACCTTGCAGCCTGGTCTGGAAGTCTCGAGATCATGCTCATGCTCATTAGAGCTGGAGCAGACCAGAGGGCCAAGAATCCGGTAGGTATGTGGGTCACACCTGGACATAGTTCTCCTTGCCCCAGTGCAGGATGGGGAAGCTCTCAGATCATTGTGTATATATGTCCCCCACCTTGGCTCTCTTCAGGATGGAATGAATGCCCTCCACTTTGCAGCTCAGAGTGATAACGTACGCATCGTGGAGTACCTCGTTCAAGATTTGCATTTGAAGGACCTGGCCCAGCCTGATGAGGTGTGTTTGCTATAGCAGGACAGGTCCTATGCATACCGCCCCCAAATTCCTCTTTCTTCCTACTCCTGCTAGAGCTGTCAAAGCAGCCAGCACAGACAGACCTGGCCCTATAGCTAGCTCCTCCATCACTCTGGCAGAGGACAGAACAGATGAGAAGTGTTGGTGTTGGTGGGGGCCCAGGCATCTCCTGTGGGAAGGGCAGGAAGTATTGAGCAAGCATCCAGATTCTTTTTTCCCTCCCGGTCCCCTCGTCCTGGCTGACTGTGGACAGCATCCACCCTATTTTGTATTCAGAATGTATGTTTGCATTTTACTCCATTATGCTTGGCCTTTTGGGAGTGTATTTGATCCAAGACTATGAAGTAATGGAATCATGGAATATAATGCGGTGTTACCATATTTGTGTACATTCTTTTTCTTTTCATAAGGAGATAGATATATACTAATAACAGTCACCACCTATTGAGTATTTATTAGTGTTGCTAGGTACAGAGGAAAGCTATTTACATACATTATTTCATTGAGATGTCTAGGGCCTGGTGTATATGGATGCTTAACAAATCATTGCTGAATGAATGAATTATCCTGTTAATTCCCATAATTCCCATAATCATATACAGAAAGATTTTGTTTATTTTTAAAGGTGATGAATTTGAGGTTCAGAGAAGCTAAGTACCTCGTCCAATGTCCCAAAACTGGAAAGTGAGAGCTAGGATTTGAATTCAGGTCTAGCTGACCCCAGTCACCATGCCGGCATGCTGTCCTGTCTCCCTTCTCAGATGGGCATTCCCTATGTGCCAGGGACTGTCTTTTTCCTGGAATATCTTCTTCTAGACTTTTCTCTAGGCTTTTCTCTCCCCTGTTCTGTCTAGGGGAGAATACCCTGTGAGACTGAACTTTTGATTTCAAATGGGACCTCCTTTTCACTGTGCCTAGAACATTATTCTCCATAAAGTCTCTCCAGAAATTAAGCAGTAATACCTCATTTCACCTGTTGTAAAAAACTTTCACATTCTTTTCTGACCTTAGTTTTTTTTTTTTTAAAGATTTTATTTATTTATTTGACAGAGAGAGAGAGCACAAGCAGGGGTAGCGGCAGGCAGAAGGAGAAGCAGGCTCCCCACTGAGCAAGGAGCCTGATGTGGGGCTCCATCCCGGGACCCAGAGATCATGACCTGAGCTGAAGGCAGATGCTTAACCGACTGAGCCACTCAGGTGTCCCTGACCTTAGTCTTAACAACAACAACAACAACTCTTTCTTCAAATGAAGTCTATAAATTTGTTTTACTTCCTCTGAGTATGACTGAGTAACTATACATTTACAGCTTAGAGGCAGACAGACTTGGACTGTGGTCTGGGCATATATATAAGCTATGAGCTTTAAGCAAGTTTTCCAACTGCTGAAAGCCTCAGTGTGTATAAGGGATGATTGGGGAGGGGGGTGTTTTGGCTTCCATATAATTTTTATCAGCAATACCTCCATGGTTTCATATAGATGATTGATATTTCCCCAGTTTTATGTAAAAAGGCCTGTGCCATTGAACTTCATTGTTAAGCCATTCCACCACCCCTTTCCAGTCACACGCTACCCCTAAGCCGTTCCTACGTAGCAATATTGGAACAGCCACTGTTGGGATGTTTGAATGAGTTAATGAGTATAAAGCACTTACTTAGCCAAGAGCCTGATACATGGTAAGTGCTCACTAAATGGTAGTTATTATGACAATTATTATAGGATAAAATACACTGATATCCTCTAATTGATAATCATAGTCAAATAGTGACACAGTGAGGAAGTTAGATCATTCTAGTTTGATTGATGCTAAGTAGGGATGCGACCTGTGAATGAATTCCACTCAGTTCAATTTAGCAGATCTTTGTTGAGGGCCTGTTATCTAGGAGACACATGACAGTCTTCCCTTTCAGTGGGCTCTGGCTGATTTCACAGGAGACAGCAGGGTGTGGGGAGGATCAGGTAGGCTGAAGGGGCTCAAGGACCAGAGCAGGTTTCTGGGAAGTCTTGGCCACATCTGCAGCTTCTGCTGGCCAGCAGCCTTCTTGGCCACCATCTCTTTAGCTGGCTCTGGGGCTGTCCTGTCCCCACCCCTCTCCCTCCTCCCCTGTGTGTTGGGAAAAATGCGGAGGAGTCTTGGCAGCAGACTCTGCAGACATGTCCAGCTGAGAGATGTTAAAATTAAGATGGATTCAGAGACATATGAGGAATGAGCAAATAATGAGTCCCCTGGCTCATTTAGGGAGAGAAGAATCTCTGAGTCCACTTTTAGTTCTGTAAGAAACCTAGATGGATCAATGCAAAAGACAAAGTCTTCTCTTTTTCTGAGATCTGTGAGTGGGTCAAGGATGTTGGCAAAACCCAATAGGATCTGGGATCAGGAGCTCAAGGTGTATTAATTCATCATTAGATTTTTCCATCTGTGTTTGCTTAAAAGTACTGTGGAACTCACTGAATGCATTTGATAGAAATGACTGCTTCACCTTCACAGCTGGTCCTCTTGCCTACTTTCTTCTCAGCAGAAAGTGATGGAGAGCCTGCTGACCTGACCAGCATTGGCAAAATTCTCTTTAGCCCAGAGGGAACTCCAAAAGCTAGCAAGGAAAGCCTTGTGGGGAGGAGGTCTTTATTAATAAAAGAGATTTCACTAGGCCCAGAGGAGTGTGGGTGGGGATGAGAGAGATGGAAGACACTGGAAAATATTTTGAGGTTTCTTCCAGCTCTGTGGCCTCTCCAGGGGAGAGAGATTAGAGCAGCCAGGAGAAGTTATTGGTAAAGTAGTATAGATGTTTTGAATCTACATGTGAACTTCCATCTAGTGGTCAAAATAAGTACTCAAAATGTTTGGGTGGAGCAGGGGCAGAGAAAGGAATGGCCTTAGAGTATATGAATAGTTGTTGAATATTTTCATAAGAGTTTGGTGGTACCCTGTTAGGTTGGTTTCAGCTGTAGACTTATGGGAACTTCCATTGGTTTAAAGGAATCTTATAGGAAGTCTTTAAAGATCAAAATGCAAAGAAGCTTCCCTTTTTGGAGGGTTGGGAATAATGAGCATGAGGGGATTTGGGAAGACATACCTACTTACATGGACCTGAAGCCGGTATTTAAGGGCTCCAGTGTGCAAGGGGGGGACCTCACCCACCCACCCTAGTTTCGTGACTGCATATTTAACACGCTGCTCCTTCAGCACTTTTTTTTTAAAAAAAGAGAGAAAGAGACAGCGTGAGAGAGAGAGAGCACAAGCCGGGGGGGTGTTGGGGGGCGGGAGGGAGAAGCAGACCCCCGCTGAGCAGGGAGCCCAAAGCGGGGCTCGATCCAAGACCCTGAGATCGTGACCTGAGCCAAAGGCAGACGTTTAACCGACGGAGCCACCCAAGCGCCCCTCCTTCGGCACTTTTTAATTCATGGCAACTTTCTTTTTCCCTCTCAAATCTCTAATTATTAAGGAACCTGCTCGGTTTTCCCTTATGCCAGGGTTCTGTTGTGAGGGTCACAGGGTAACGGGAAATGTCGTGGGGGGTAGACCTGCACACGGGGCACTGGGGGGCTTTGTGCTGGGTTCTCCCTGGTTTCCTCTCAGAGGCTCTCCTCCCATCATCTCTGGGGTCGCTGTGGGAAAGGATGGTCAGTTTGGACTTTGGGTAGCCATTTATAGTGGCTGTTTATGAAATTTTTGCTGAATTTGTTAACCTGTCAGATTTGATAACCCTGCTAATAAACTTAAAAATGAAAAATAATTTCTAATAAACAGTTGCAACCTCTCAGACTTATTCACATGCTAACAATTTAAATACATTGAATTAAAACAGGTTAAATAGACATTGTGTTAATTAAGGAAAAAAGATAACAGAAATTCTGGCCCCTCCTTATTTTCATTAATTAGGAAAGGGAATCGGGATCCTGAGCTGGGAAGGCACTGTGGTTTCTCTGAAACGGGAATTCTGACGCCAGGTTCCACTGTCCTGGCTGGAAGATCTCCCTGCCTTGCAGGTAGGAGTCAGTCCCGGGGGACTGTACTGGCTAGAGGCCAACCTGAATAGCATTTTAGAAGGGTTTGGTGGTTAAAAAAGGAAATAAGACATGGTAAGAAACTATATATTTTTTTAAAAAACATGTATTTTTAAAGTTGATGTTATTTTCTCTAATAATGTAGGCTAAAATGGGAGAAAAGATTTATATCTCATTTTACTGTCACTTCATCTTTATTCTACCTTCTGATATGTTTCTAAGATATGGATTACTTTAAATGCCCTTATTTTGTGTAATTTGGCTTTCACATTTTTTTTTTCTTGCTGATAACATTTTTAAAGGGCATCCAAAGTTTAAAGTAATAGCTGTTTTCTTGGTGAGGAAAAATATTTCATCCGTGATAACCTCCTATTTCTTATCAGATTAGGCTTTCTTTGGGGGTGGGTCCTCTGTCACTTTGTTTAGCCATGCAGAAATGCAAGTCTTTGTAGCAGCCAAGGGTAAGAGTAAGGGCATTTTATTTTTTTTAAGATTTTATTTATTTATTAGAGAGAAAGAGTGTGAATGCAGGAGCAGGGGGAGGGGCAGAGGGAGAAGCAGGACTTGATCCCAGGACCCTGGGATTGTGACCTGAGCCGAAGGCAGATGCTTAGCTGACTGAGCCACCCAGGTGCCCCCAAGAGTAAGGCCATTTTAAAGTTGAACAGATGAGCACTTGGTGTTATACACACCTAATAAGTCGTTGAACACTACATCAAAAACTAATCATGTACTATATGCTGGCTAACTGAACATAATTTTTTTTTAAAGATTTTATTTATTTATTTGACAGAGAGAGACACAGCGAGAGAGGGAACACAAGCAGGGGGAGTGGGAGAGGGAGAAGCAGGCTTCCCGTGGAGCAGGGAGCCCGATGCGGGGCTCGATCCCAGGACCCTGGGATCATGACCTGAGCCGAAGGCAGCCGCTTAACAACTGAGCCACGCAGGTGCCCCTAACTGAACATAATTAAAAAAAA